AAACACTCACTCAGAATCCAAAATAAAAAGTCTTGCGTTATTAATTTTTAACACTTATAATTTATAAATAATGTAGTATTAGAATCTAATAATTAGATAATAAATTAATATATGGTTATTAATTTATTATAATTTCTAAATTAAAATTTAATTATTAATATTATACCAACAAATGAAAAAAAACAAAATTAGCTTATTTATTTACTATAAGTATGTTCATTTTTGAATATTTCAATTAATTCTTTCGATTAGAAAACGATTTTAAATTAATGAATAAATGATTTTAATTTAGAGTGATTTTTCGAGAGATTCTCTCGATTATGAAAACGTCTCGGTTACTAATCATTCGATTATCGAAATCATTCGATTATGCACATAACTAAATTAAGTATATAATTATCTGAACAAATAATTAAAACTAAATCTTTTTTTTTTATTAATCATAATTAATTAATTAAGTATTCAGATATAGGTACAACATAATATATTGTTATCACAGCAATGGTTGTTTAATAAATTGTATCTATAGTCACGTAAAGACAATATGTATTTTGTTAATACACTTATTATTGAAACATTCATTTCAGCTATTTCTAAATTGTTTTGTAGTGAGAAAAGATGGATTTTGAAAATTCCGACCATGATAGTTTGTCGGCCGAATTTGACTTCAGAGGAAATGCAGAGCCAACTGCTATGGACCCTCATCGTGATGATGTGATTAGCGATCGTCAACAAAACATACTAAACGATCTGAGAATACATTTATGTCGCGAAAATTTTATCTATTTAAATAATCATAAAGAAGTGAGAATCGATCATATCATTTTTAATATACCTATAAGTACTTATACGACCTTATATTATATTTGATAATACAAACATTTATTTGGTGACATGTTCATGTTTCCAACATAGTTTTAAACATTCAATTTTTGTGTTATTAATTATTGTAAATACAAATTTATGATTTACGTTTAGGACACAAATGTAGGTTTACCTACATGGTATACTCCATCCGGTACTCCACGACTTCAAATATTACAGCTATATTTTCATTCATATGGGTTTTTTTTTTTTTTTGCTATGTTGATTGACAAGTCTTTGTTCTTACGGGCAGGTAGAAGCGATAGCGTTGCTCTTGATCAATGACATTTTAAAGAAGACACCTAAGGACCCATACAGACATGCAGCCAATTACTTGGGAAATTCGAATACAGCCTACCTGGTGGCTAACTTTAAGCGGCCCGAAGATTTTCAGTATGAGGAAATTATCAAAAAGGATAACGAACAATATGCGACAGCATGCGCAGAACTGAAAATGTCTACTTGTGAGCATGTTAAATCGGTGGTTACCATGGATGAACAGACCGAGGAGTTAGAAGACGGTGAAACCGATATGGTGGAGGACCCATATCACTTAATGACAGGGGATGGAGAGACCAGTTATGTAATAGAAGAAGGGGCAGAGATATCGATTTACCAAAAATAGTGACAGTTTGTTTTATAGTTTAGTCATAATTGAATAATTTACATTTTGCAAAGTATAAATATAGTATAAAAAAACTGAATACCTATTTAAATACATCAACTAAAGAAACTCCTCATATTATTATTTCACTATGTCTTCATATATTATATTCAACAAATTTAAATAGTAAATAAGTAAATAACAAATAGTCATAATAAACGAAAGAGACATATCAAACCCGTGTATATAATATGAAACTGAATACCTATTTGGAATTTAAATTTAGTATATGTACTTATATTACAACCACATTCCACAGACATATAATGGACGATCCATAACTGGCACACCTGGCACAATTGAATTTTAATTATTATTATTTTTATTTTTTATGGTAAGCTGAGTTTGAAAATAATTTATATAGGTCGTCAGATTTTTGAAAAGCTAAAGCTACAAATAAAATGTATCTACGTATTTGTTTTATTGTTAGGTATCATTGTTGGTATGAATAATTATGTAATACTTCAATTGGATCTTAACTTAAGTATAGGTACTTAAGATTGTAATATTAGTGAAATACTAGATACCTACATTACAGGCTACATTATATAAGTATATAATAAAATACATTTATTACTAAACTATTCATATTCGTAAAAATACATATACAAATATTATTTAAAAAATATAAATAAAATATAAAACAATTATAAGTGTGAATTTAATTAATATAAAAAAAAAGTATGTGTGTTACCAGTACGCGTGCGGGAAGTTAAACTTCTTTTGAATGGTACTAATTATTTATTATTGATAGTTTTATTATTTTTTTTATATTTTTATTCGACAGATGGATGGATAATTGTTTGTAGTATTGTTTTTATCCAGACAATAGATTTGTGAGTGAATAATAATAATAATAATAAAAATAAATAATAATCGATCATTAAATATTCATATTAATTAGTATGGGCCAAGATAGATGAATCTGTTTTAGATTCTAAGTGAAACGATGAATGTATTGATTTTACAATGATGTGTGTTTTTTTTTTAATTTTTTTTTTGTGTCTGTCATCACGTTTTAGGACAGTAAAAGTGCTTGGATTTTCTTCATCAGTAGCTTTTCTGATAGGAAAGTGAATCTAGTTGGTACTTTGGGGGTCAAAAGTAAAAATTTCACAGTAGTTTTCACAAGCGCCGGGCAAAAACAACATAAAAATTAAGGAAAAACGGGAATTTTTACTTAAAATTGGTTTTCCAAAAATGAAAAAAATCGATTTGGTTTTTGGTGTAACTCTAAAAAAAATGAACGTATATACATGAAATTTTCACTGGTTGTTTATATTTGCATTTTCTATACACGATAACATTTTCAAAATATTTTGAACTGTTTAGGGCAGTGTTTCCCAACCAGTGGTCCGTGGGCCAGTCATAGGTGGTCCGCGGTACCTTTCTTAGTTTTCTATTAAAAATTATTTTTTTTTTTTAAACAGCGAAAAATATTTTATTTTACCGTAATATACGGTTATCTTATCGTATACAAAAATCACACTAAGTAAATTATTAGTAAAGTTTAATCTTAATATATATAAATCTCGTGTAAATTTTTGTTTATTCTTGTCAATGAGCAAAAAAAAAAAAAAAGGTCTTCCTAGTTTGAGTAAAATTGAGGTGGTCCGCGACCTATAAAATATTGTCAAAGTGGTCCGTGGTGGTAAAAAGGTTGGGAAACACTGGTTTAGGGACATTTTCATTTTCCATTTTTTTTTAGTTTTTTTTCTAAAAATATCAATGAAATTTTATTTGTTGGTTGCGAAAGCTTGAAAATTTAATAGAAGGCTCCTAATATATTGTTTCAAAGGCAGATGAAAAATATTAAAAATCCTTAGTCACAATTTTTTTATAAGCATTTAAAGTTCAAAAATTGTAAAAATATGGAAAAATCACGAAAATTAGCGAATTATTTTGAGTTAAGAATTCGTAAACATTTTTCTTTTTAAATCTAAGATTTGAAAATGTAATACAAGATTACTCATAAGTTTGTCTACCTTTATCAATAAAAAAATCTCTACCGGAAAGTCAAATTAAATTTTTATGAGCGTTTGAAATTCAAATTTGTACAACATTGGATGTTCACTCGATTTCTCATGTAGTGATTTCCTTATTTTGTTGTAATTCAAAAACGAATAACTGTAGATACATGAAAATTTCACTGGATGTTTATATTATCATTTCCACCTATACACTATACAATTTTGAAAATATTTTGACTCTTTTTGAGCTGTTTATGGACATTTACAGCTTTCAATTTATTTTAGTTTTTTTTTCTATAAATATCAATAAAGTTTTATCTGTTGGGCCAAAAAGTGTAAAAGTTTAATACAAGGCTCCTGATATATTGTTACAATATCAGTTGAAAAATATTAAAAATATATATTCACAGTTTTTTTTTATAAGCATTTAAAGATCAAATTTTGACAACATTTATCAAAATCTCGAAAATTATCAATCATTGTAATTAATAAATTATAAAATGTTCAATTTTTATAGCTAAAGATTGCAAATTCAACACAAAGGTTCTCGTAAATAGTTCATACTGTAACCAAAAAATCTAAAAAATATATGAACACAGTTATTTTTTACAGACATTTTAGATTCAAATTTGGACGAAATCACATATTAACAAACCTAGAATAACTATTATAGTTATTTTGTTGTGATTGAATAATATTATTCGTGGGTACTTGAAACTTCTAAAGTGTACTATTATATATCTATGATAGTATCACGGTTTTTGTTGATGTATAACGCGTTACCAGTACCTAATGGATATTGTGATATGATTAATTTGGAATTTATTATAGGTACCTATTATAGGTAAATTTTTTGTTTAATACCATAGATATGTAGTATATAATATGTCTTATACATAGACTGACATACCGTCTCCGCTCAGAATCGTTTTTCTTATACAATGATATTATATCGTTGAATTCAAATTTAATATCATCCAATATACAGTGACCCACTTGTATCCTACTGTACGGCAGAGCGACACCCACTTGCCCACCTTTTTTATTTTGCAACGTTTATATAATATTAACGACCACCACTTACCTCGCAACGCTTATTTCTCTTTTGGATTAATTAATAATAACCGAACTACGAATTAACAAACACTGTGCATGTGTGTGTGCTACGATATGACGTAACCGAACGACCGTCGACCTGAACGGATTGGCGAACAACGACGACGGCGAATTCGCACACCTAGTTCGAACTCGAGATTATTATTTCGGTAATATTATATTGTAAATTATAATAATTAGGTAAAATAAAAATAGCTACTATTTTTACTAAATCCAGTCGTACGTAGTACGTACAAAAATCCAAGTAACCATTGAAATTTAAAATATTAAAATAGGAACTACTTATCACTTAATAACAATATATATAAAATATATATCTGTGGCTGTCACCGACCAACATTATATATTTTATAATACGTAATATTATTATTATGTCATATTGACGCGGCCCGATTATAATATATAATATACTAGCTGACCCGGCCACGCGTTGCTGTGGCTAAAGTTTTTGTTATATTACATTATAGTAAACAATCTAAGAGGAACAATAAGAGAACATCAGTCACGGAGTCACTCCTACTGTGGCTATGGTTATTACGTACCTATGAGAAAATATATTTTTTTTTTATTTGTAGTTTATTAGTGGTTTTGGAAATCATAGAGCATAGTAAACTATTGAGTATGTCAAATGGTGCACAATATTTTTGGTTGTTGGCTGTATTAACAATTCACATCTACACGTATTATGGCGATAATTCTCGGAACAATTCATATCTACACGCCACCGACGATAAAACACATACAATAGAAAAAAGCTCAGGTTACAGATAGATATTATCGCGGTCGGCCACGGAAAAACCCGAAATACACCATGCAATCATACAAATTTATTAAAAAGTTAATTAAAATATTTAATGTATTAAAAAATTTGAAATAAAAACTATCCTATCCTTTAAGTTTGACCAAATTACACGCCGTGTAAAAAATTTCATCCAAATTGGGTAAGTGGTTTAGGAGTCCATTGAGGACAAACATTGTGACACGAGATTTATATATATTAAGATATATATATTATAATAAATAATATAACAACACTAGGAACTAAGACAATATTTATTTATTTACGGACATGTACGCTTTCGCGTTCGTTCGCCGTCCGTTCGTACGCGCCGCCCGTTCGCTTTTTTTTTCCTCACTACCCTGCGTAAAGAAGTATAACTTCAAAAGTGCTCCCATGCCTAAAGTGTATTATTAATACTTACTAATGAAAACTTGTAAAACTTCTTGAGAACACAATTTAATTATGATGTGGTAGATACATTTATTTACCTATAAATTAGTATATGTAAAATAAATTATAAGCATGGATTAAACATATCAATCAATACATATCGTTAATGACTTAATGTATTGATTACAAGTTAAGTAGTTGACATTTTTTATGGATATTTCGGTTCATAGGTAACGTAATTAGAGAATAAGATAATTAATCTGCAAGAACAGTAGGCCTAAGTCTCATTGAACCATGGCCAATTAATGACCGTTTCAAAGACCAAATAGACATGTCAATTACTGATTACACCAAATTTAAAAGTTGTATTAACCATTTGCCATTGTAAATGTATAAGTCGCTCATCAGCGAATAAAATTTGATAACACTGGGAACTTTGTGTGGTCGAAAGGTATGATTCAATTGAGTGAAATATTGATAATATTATATTGTGTTCAGTGGCAACCAATAGATACTGATGCAGGAGCAGTGGGTAGAGAATAATGTTGTTGCTGTAAAATAATGCCAACAATTAACAGATCTGTTAAACTCAAACCCAGGGCCAATAAAAGACTGGAAAGCCTGGCATTGAGTAAATATGCCTAATGGCCAATATACTGCTCACAGTCACACTGACATAATCAAGACTATTTAAAATTAAATTA